TCTTTCTTTCTTTCTTTCTTTCTTTCTTTCTTTCTTTCTTTCTTTCTTCTTTCTTTTTTTTTTGTGGTTTTCTTGAAGTAGAGTTTATTTGTGTAGCTGTGGCTGTCCTGGAACTCGCTCTGTAGACGAGGTTGGCCTCGAACTCACAAAGATCCGCCTGCCTCTGTCTTCCCAAGTGCTGGGATCAAAGGCGTGTGCCACCACCACACTGCTCAGTTTTCTTTCTTTTTAACTTACTAATGGGAGTTTTCCTGTAAGGAAGCCTTGCTGTCTGTTTATTTATTCGTTGTGTTTAGTGCTATAAATTCACAGTGGCTTGCTGTCCCTTCAGTTAAACCCCTATATTTTGTGTTTATGTTACTGAGATTGCCTGAGTGTGGGAAACCATGCTCAGTTGTGTTCTTTAGGTATGCTACTGTCTTTTTTTTTTTTTTTTTTTTTTTGTCTCTGAACCCACACCAGTATGCATTTTCATAGTCAGTTATCCAAGTCTAGTGCAAGACATCCAAGCTCATCATATATTTTCTGTGTTCCATCCCTGGAAACAGTCATTTAAATAAACAAACAAACAATAACAACAACAAAAACCAAAAAACCTGGGATCTGGGTACTAGGTCTAATATGTTTTTAAGTGTTAAAAGCAAAGTTTTTTTATACAGTTTATTTTTAAGGAACTTTTAAAGCTCAATATTACCTTTAAATATGTTTTTTTAAACATAATTTGTAGTCTGAAGTGTGCTTCAGAATGATGTGGTAGGAAACAGGAGTCACCAGACTGGATGCATGCTGGTTAGGTTTAGGTGGGTGATGCATGATGGTCATTGGACTGTTCCTTTCTCTGGAAGTGCTTTGGTAGTTGCCATAAGAAACAGTTGAAATTTGTAAATAGCAAATGTATTTTAAAATCTCATCACGCCGTGAAACTACAAGGACAGCAGTGTACTGAGTATGCACGCCTGGCTTTAAGTTTCACAAGTTCTAAATATTGTGCAGGTCATGCTATCTTGACAGCTTGGCGGTTTTTTTTTTTTGGCTTCCCACCTCAAGGAGTTTTTCTAAAGTTTACTAAATAAATGTTTTGTATAGGAATGGCATTCTAGGACACGTTTCTGCTTTCACATGTGCTTGTTAACTCCTATGTAGACTGTCCTTTTTTAGGAAGCACTTGTATAGTGGATTTCGCATGCTTGGTTATAATATGTATTATGGCCAATATACTTGTGTATGAGACAGTCCTGAGTATGTTCCTTTTAGGAACTTGCTTTTAGTTTCACCGATTGACCTATTACTTGCCATATGAACACCACTGAGTACTGTACATACTGGATTTTGAACAGTCACCTAGTTGGTTTTATTTGAAGTCCCCTTTCCTGACCTCCAAGAGCTAACATCTTACGTTTCTTTTGAAAAATTCCCCACAGAGCTCGAATGACACCTTCCCCACAGCAATGCACATCGCTGCTGCAATGGAAGTTCACGGGGTCCTACTGCCGGGACTACAGAAGCTGCATGATGCGCTCAGTGCAAAATCCAAAGAGTTTGCGCAGATCATCAAAATCGGGCGAACACACACGCAGGACGCTGTCCCACTTACTCTTGGGCAGGTACAGGCGTATGACTCACTTTGCTCAGTTTAGGGACTGAACAAATTATTAGTGTTTCCCCTCAAAATTGCCTTTTAAGTAAAGGCCAGGTTCATAACAACAAAGATCAGTGGTAGATTTTCTTAATTAACCAGTGGGCAACTTTTAATAGTATACACATAAGATCAGAACATGCCAGCAGTCAGCTGGGCTCAGTTGGGTGCTGGATTCAAGTTTTGCTTTGCTGTAGAGCAGTTTTGTGACTGTGGGAAAGTTACTTAACTTCTGAGCCTTGGTTTTCTGGGTTGTAAAGCAGGGAGAATGCATGGTTGTAAGGCTGTAGTGAGCTCAATGACAAAGAGTGTTTAGAACCATCTCCAGTATATAGCAGATGTCTTCATGAATCCATTATTATGAATGCTTCATCTGTCTCTCCTAACGTAAAAAAGGTATTTATTTAAAGCAGATTTTTCTAAAGTTATTATGTGAGGCCCATCTTACCCTTTAACATTACTTATGTGAAGAGGTGTACCTCTCAGGGTAGCAAAAAGCATTTTTATGTTTCTGTATCAACAGCTGAAGGGAGATCTAATATTGTGAACTAAAAAGAAACCAAAGGAAGTTCATGAAACAGTTTTGTCTCAGCTCACACTCCAGTTTGGGAGGTAGAATATGTATAGTTTATGTATGAAAAGATAGCCATCCATTGCCAAATATCAACTGGTAGTTACCAGACAGTATTTTCATGAAAACTAGGTGAGGGTGGGAACTTGATTGCTGCCCACTTGGGTGGATTCTCTGTTGTTTGGATTCTCTGTTGTTCTGTGGCAAATAATAAACAATGCTTCATTATTTAGCAAAATTTTTACAGAGAGAATGAGGAATACTTCAGAGATTTAGCAAAAAGTGAGTGAAGGGATAAAAATTGTCTTTTTTGCCATTTTCTTTACATCATTAGCTCTTAGTTCTATTTGTAATTTCTAAGAAGGAAAAATATGTGCAGTCTGTTTCTCCTGGTTCCTAATTTTTATCTTTTTTTTCGTTTTGTTTTTTCGAGTGTTGCATGTTGAAAGCCGCTATACTAAAAATCAGTTTGAGCCAAGTCTCAATCTCCTGAATGGTGTCGTCACACTACTTAATCATGACAGCCATTCTGTTTTCTTTTTCACTTTGTGAGAAACACATATATTTGTTTTGATTGGAATTGCTTTTTGGGTTTTTGCAGTTTTTAAAATGCATTCTCTACATATAGCTGGTGTGTGTGTGCGCGCGCGCACGTGTGCATGGGCACATACTACAGGGAAGGAAAAGGAGGGGGAGAGAGAATGAAAAAAAGTTAATATCTCATGAATTAGATCTGCCTTTTGAAAGGTTTTCTTTAGAATATAGTGAAACCCCGATCCTCATCAAAAGTATTTAGTTTTTCGGTATTTTTAGGGAGGAGAAAAGACTTAGTTTAACTATGTATCGTGGCTTCCCCAGATAAAGCCAACTGTAAAATAATAAGAGCATAAGGTTTTTTTGTTTTCTGTTTGTTTGGGGTTTTGTTTTGTTTTGTTTGTTTGTTTTTGAGTCAGGGTTTCTCTCTGTAGCCTTGGCTGCCCTGGACTCGCTTTGAAGACCAGGCTGGCCTCGAACTCACAGCTATCTGCCTCTGCCTCCCCAAGTGCTGGGATTATAGATGTGTGCCACTGCCCCTGGCTGAGCATAACTTTTTTGTCCCTGCTTAATTATTAACATGACATACAAATTGATGGTTGCTTTAAAGTGACGTGGTGTGGGAAGCAATGCGATGCTGACAGCAGAATTAAAGTGCACAGTGGCACTGTGATCCTGTCTCACTGTAGCCTTCTCAGGCTGTTGAATGAGGTGCTTCACTCTCAGCTCCCTGTAAACAGCCTCTTGCGTTTCCTCTCGGGAGTTTAAGCTGAAACTGTATGGAAAATACTTCTGCTTTCTTTTTTTTTTTTTTTCTTTTTTTTCCCCCCTTTGGGTTCTATTTGCTGTTTTTTTTTCTCTGGGCTATACTCAAAAAGTGGGGGAGAAGATCAGCTCTTTGGGTGGATTGTGGACAGAACAGGAATTTAATGTGGTGAAACTGTTCTTTTTAAACGGTCATTTCATGGGCTGTTTTCTTGACACTGTTAAAACTTAAGTTTTAAACAAAGCTCCATGTTAACTATTCTCATGGTTGTACCTTGTAGAGTTGTAGCCCTTCCTCTTACTTCATTATGTTAATGAATTCACATTAAGTTGCATATAACTTAATATTCCGTACTACATTGTAAAAGCTTCTATTAGTGCCATTAGAGTAAGTTGTATGCTGTTAGGAATTTGTTCTTACTGTTATTTCTCCTTGTCAGGAATTCAGTGGATATGTTCAGCAAATCCAGTATGCGATGGTGAGGATAAAAGCCGCCATGCCAAGGATCTATGAGCTCGCTGCTGGGGGCACTGCCGTTGGGACAGGCCTCAACACCAGGATTGGCTTCGCAGAAAAGGTGGCCGCGAAAGTGGCCACACTCACAGGTCGGGAACCTCATGTGTCATTACTCACCTTCTTTATATCAGCTTATGCATTTTCTACATGTTTCTAGGCTGAATTCTTCTGAAATTTCCTAGTGACATGTTCCCCTCAAACACGGCTGGTGTTGGTTTCAGCAGTTAAGTTTGTTTTACTTTTTAAAGGCTTCCATATAAGAGTTTATAGGCATGCAATTTACACGGTAGCTTTGTTTGCTATCTGGTCGCATTTAGTCCTTTTTCTTCAAAGCTGTTTCAAGTAGTTTTCAAGGAAAGTAGAAACAGTTGACTGTTGAGAAACCTATGTGATAAATGTGCTGTAAGCTTAGTTTTTGTATGTCACACTGTGATATTTCTTTGCCTTAACATCTTTAAATACTGTCTTCCCATTAGTACAGTACTATAATCTGAATAATAATTTGTTATTATTAGAACCAGCTTGTCTTGTCCAGAAAACTGATTAAGATGCAGGTGTTAACCAGAAAGTTAGGGGTACTGGTAACTGTAAAATACATATCACAGGCTAATAGGTGAGTTTTTAGGATATTCATTTAGTTTCTTTTTTAATATCATATATGTATACAATGTATCCTGACCATATTCAGCTCCCATCTATACTCCCAAACATATCTCCCTCCCAATTCCAAGTCCTCCCCTATCTCAGTATATACTCTCAAGCTCAGTTTGTGCTGCCCTGCCCATGTATGTATGGGTGTGAAATTATCACGGGGGTACGGGCAAGCCGCTAGTAGCCATCCCCAAAGAAAAATGGCTCTTCTTCCTCCAGCAGCCAACACCTGCCAATAGCTCCTCAGGTAGAGGAGGGGTCTCCTTGCAGAAATTTTTAACTGGCTTGATCTTATGAGATAACCACAGCCGATGTGAGTTCACACAAGCAGTAGCCATGCCATGTCAAGGACAGCATTTCCCAGCTCTCGCCCCATCCTCTAGCTAGTCATTCTTCCTGCCTTCTCTCTGAGATGTCTTTGAGCCTTGGGGTATGGGTGATATGTATGTGCTTTCTGTGGCTGGGCACTCACACTTGCTGTTCTTTAGCTGAAGTTTTTTTTTTTTTTAAATCACGTTTTAATAGAAAGGAACTGTATTCAGATTTAGAGTACAGATTTCAGAATCTTTGTAGGATGGGTGGACTGAGACCATAGCTTATCTGTGCTCCCTGTTTTCTCAACAGTAGAACAGACTGGAATAGAGATTTTGAACAGTTGTATAAAATTGGAGTGTGGACAAAAAGCAGAGTGAATTTCACAGTTCTCATCCTTACTCAAGAGTAGTTAGGCCTGGTATTCATGTGTTTGTTAAAGAGTCATGTTAAGAGGCCCTTTGGGATGTCGTAAAGGAGTATTGACACAGCTTGACTCTTAAGCATTTCCTGCAAGTGAAAAATCTGCATTTATTTATTTATTATTGCTTTATAGACGTTTGTAGTACTGGGAATCAAACTCAGCCAGCACCTTGGGCATGCTGGGCAAGCGGTGTCATTGAGTTGTGCACCCACCCCTCTGTTCTAATTTGCTCTATGTTGGCCTTTTTGGACCTTGTTTAACTTGCTTATTGCTTGCAAGCATGTTTACTCTTCATTGTTCACTCTCGGAGCTCTTTCCTTCCTGCAGGCTTGCCTTTTGTCACCGCCCCGAATAAGTTTGAAGCTCTGGCCGCTCACGATGCGCTGGTGGAGCTTAGTGGAGCCATGAACACAACCGCATGCAGTCTGATGAAGATAGCAAATGATATTCGCTTTCTTGGTTCTGGTCCTCGGTCAGGTCTGGGAGAGCTGATCTTGCCTGAAAATGAGCCAGGGAGTAGCATCATGCCAGGTAAGCACATAGCTGATAAATTCTGGGGCTGGAATTTGACTATATCCCAGGGATTTGCAAGCATAGAACATGTCTGTTCACTTTCTCCCATCCCTGAAGCAGTGGGGGAGGTGTGAGCAGCACTTGTTCTACGGTGTCCATGTGGATCTTTGCAGAACTTTAAGCTGTGTCAGTTACCGAGTCAGGAAAGTAAATGACTTGAGTTAGCGATGTTTTGAGGAACCTTTGTGTAGTTGGACCTTAAGTCTAAGTCAAGAGTAAAACGCCAGAGTAAAACACTTAGCCTATATTGAATAAATATGAGTCCTACTGAAGTCATGTGTCATGCTTTGCCTCAGATTCTGTCCTGTTAAATCCAAGGGACTGACACTGGATGGAGTTGGTCTAGGATGTGAATGGAGTCAGGTGAACAGTTACTTAGGGGGAGACTAATAAGTTGACTTTAGTTGGAGAACTATCTTGATGTTGGGCTCTACCCATTCAGCTTCTTACTGCTGCCTCCCACGGGGGAGGGACCAAGAACACCTGCTGATCATGTAGCTGAGGTGGCAGTATGTGTATGACAGCATCAAGATTCACAAAGGCCCCTCTGCAGGCCAGCTCAGAGTTACTTTTTGTTATTTAGAATACGGGAAAAGCTTTCACTAGACTTTTAACTGTGTATGTTATGTATGGGCTGTGTATGTGCATAGACCAGAAGAGCTTGATTTGCAGTACTATTTGACAAGTGACATATAGGCATAGTTGCTTGCAAATTTAAAATAATTGTTAAGAAGAGAAATGGAGCCAGGTGTGGCAATGCGTATGGTTAATCCTAGCACTTTGGAACCTGAAGCTGGAAGATTATAAGTTCAAGGACAAACTGAGCTACCAGTCTTATTTCAGGCCTGACAGGGCAACTAAGCAAAACAATGTTTCCAAAAGAAAAGACAAATGAGAACATCACAAAGGGGGTCATGCTTCACTTCATTCTTTACACTGGGTAGAAGACTTTGCTGTGTGGCTTGGATTTGGGCTTCTTAAAGGAGCTGGAGCCCTGGAGACCTGGGTGGTAAATACAGCTCCAGCCTAGCCTTCTCTGTATGGACCTTGTTTATTGATGTTGCCAGCTCTTTTCTTAGCTGCCATCCTCTAGGAAGGTAGAGTCTATGTCTTTCTAATTGTGTATTTTGTGCTGGTTCCCTAAATGCCCACATAGGAAACAAACAAACAAACAAACAACCATAACAATGGAAAACCATGTGTAAATAGATCTTTGATTTTTGTGTGTGTCTGTGATATTGGGGATTGAACCCAGGGCCTCCCTCATGTTAGGCAAGTATTCTGTTTTTAGGATGTATTCCCTGTCTTAAAGATGTATCCCTAGAACTCTATACTTTTTGAGTCAAGACTCACTAAGTTGCCCAGGCTGGCCTTCACTCAGTAGCTCAGGTAGTCCTTGAACTTGGAATCCTCATGCTTTAGCCTGTTGAGTGACTAGAATTATAGCCTGTGCCTAAACTTTGCCCTATTTGACGTCTTTTTATTTAATAACGTTAGATTTCTTCCTGATATAAAAACAGTCTAAAGTGGTATGGGAAACCATGGGTATACTTGATGAGATTCTGCACTGGTTTTCTCAAAGGAAAGGTGAACCCTACGCAATGTGAAGCAGTGACCATGGTTGCAGCCCAAGTCATGGGGAATCATGTTGCTGTTACGGTTGGAGGCAGCAATGGACATTTTGAGTTGAATGTTTTTAAACCAATGATGGTAAGCTTTCAGTTTTATTTTTAGCAGTTTTTGATTGAAGACCAATTGCTAATGCTCTTGTCTTTCCTCAAGATTTCGGGAACTCCCACAGAAGGTAGTTGTGTGGTGTAGGTAGCAACTGGAAACCAAGTATATCCTAGTCCTTCTGAAATAACCTGGAATAGTAGACTGTAGTCCTACTCAGCTCAAGTGATTTGATAGTTTGCTCTTTTAAGTAGTGGAAAAAAGAAATCTGGAAGTAAGACAGAACTTCTTTGTCTCTTACTACTATGGATGCCAGCACCTAGAAATCACTTCAAGGCTTCTTAGCTTAAAAAGTATACCTCCCCTACAGCCCTGTCCCTTGCTCATTCTGCAGCTTTGTGCCATCTGCTTTCAGACTTGGTTGGAAAAGACTGACCCACTGTCATTTTCTTTCATGGTTTGAACACTGTGGTCTAGCCTCAGGCCCTTCACATTGCTTGCATTATTTTCAGACATCATCTTTGCCTTGTAATGGACGTCCCCATTCTCTTAGGATACCATGTTGGTCCTCTCTCCATTTCTTTAGCACTTTCTCTGTCCGAAACAAAGCTTTCTTTAATTTACTTTCGCTTTTTCCATGTGCCTTGGAAACTGTCCACCAAACTTCTATTTCCTTCAACATTTCAAATGTGGAACAACATGGTATCTTCTTGTATGCATACTCTTGAGCTTCAGACAGCCAAGCTGAGTCACCGTTAAGTCCATCATATGTACAGTACTGTATCTGAAACACACTAGAGGCAAATTTATTTCTTACTGGTTTGTGGTATAAAGTCTACTTGATAAGAATATTCAAATGACTATTAGTAGATTTATTTAAGTTTCACTTTGGATCACACAATATTAGATGCTCACAATAAAACAATAAACATGATAAGGTTTTTGTTTTGTTTTTGCCTTCATGGCATGTTTATTTTGTTGGGATTGGTAAATGAAAGACAGGTAAAGAAAGACAGTGAACTTCAGTTCTATATACCTTCACATCAATGCCATATTTCCAACAAATAGTGCCAACTGCCTAACATATACAGATGTATAACAGCTATATATTTCTAATATACAGATGTATAACAGCTGTATATTTCTAGATTTTAAATCATTTATTGTGTTTTAAAAATAATAACCATTTTATCTTATTCCTTCTTTGTAAAGGTGAAGATGAGAAAAAGCTGGTAGATGCAGTCTTTTCGTGGCATAAAGTAAAACTGTTGCATCAGCCATTACAGACAAGACAGACATTGGGGTGGGAGCAGACGTAATTGAAAAAAAAAGTTTGTCCTTAATTAGAAAATCCAGATATTTGACTTACAAGAGTCATTGGAATCAAATTAAGCTTTACTGTCTAGCGTCTGTTAGAATCCATCGTGGAAGTACAGCTTCCAGACCTTCCTGGGTTTTAGACAGGTATATATGGGAAGTGTTACTCAAAAGAAACAGTCGTTAAATGTACCTGTTGGTTTTATATGATCTTAAACATCATGTGATGTTAAAATGATCCTGGAATGTTTGTTCTATTAAGCATAAAACAGAGAATCCAAAATTTAGCATCTGCCTCTGCTGTTCTTTCCCCTGCATAGATGAGTCTTTATCCATTTCTGCTGTCCACTTCCTCTGCGACAAGGAGGACTCCTAGACAGTGGCCATAGCACAGCTCTCCTGTTTTGTGTAGACACCACAGGCTGTCTTATGTTAGTCGCTCACTGTAGGCCGTGTCTTGTATTAGTTATTGGCCATGTGCTGTCTTGTGTCAGTTACTCACACTTAGGTCTTTTCTAGCATTTGTAGATTTGTAACTTTGTGTCCCCAGTGCCTCCTGTTCTTACTTGTTTCCTTGAGTATTGCACTGCAGAATTGGTTAGAGTGATGTACGGTGATAGAGTTACATGTCCAGCCTGGAACATCAAATAATGCATGTCACTGGACAAAAGCAAAACAAAATGAACTGAGGCTTACAAGTGATTCTCCTTTCTTTCCCTCTGTGTCTCTCTGACAGATTAAGAATGTGTTGCACTCAGTCAGGCTGCTGGGGGATGCTTCAGTGTCCTTCACAGAGAACTGTGTGGTGGGTATCCAGGCCAACACAGAAAGAATCAGCAAGCTAATGAATGAGTCTTTAATGTTGGTGACAGCTCTTAATCCACATATAGGTAAGTTTGGGGGGTAATGCCATTTTGAAAACAGCATTTAAAAGCTTAAAAAAAAAAAACCTTAAATGTTTTAGAAAAGTGTGTGTGTGTGTGTGTGTGTGTGTGTGTGTGTGTGTGTGTGTCTCCCATGGATACACATGGAGGCCAGAGAACTGCTTCTCTGACCTCAGAGAAGCTCTGAGGAGTCAGTTCTCTCCTTCTACGGTGCAGGTGTGTGGGATGGAACCCAGAGCCCCAGTCGTGGTGGAGAGCAGCGGTACACACTAAGCCATCCCATCAGCCCTCACTTCATGTTAATAGGCTCAGATGCCGGGTGTTGTATGCAGACGACCAGGGAAGGTCATCTGTACACCCCTCTTTGTTAGCGCCACGAGGTGGCGCTGCCTGACCACCAGCAGCAAATGGGTTCACAGGTTTCTCCTCTTCCTAGACACTATACAGTTCTTTGATTTTGTTTTATCAAATTCAAATACGGAATGTTACCAGTTAAAAGAGAAAAGGGACACATTTGATGCTGATAGGGAAGGGGTATGAGAAAACTAGATACTTTTCCTGAAACTATCCTTTGTGTTCCTAGTCTTTTTCAGACTGTCACTGTTTTATGTAGACTTAGATTGCAGCCTAACTGGCACCACTGCCCAGTCCATTAAGGCATCTGCTCTGGCTTGCACAGGTGGAGGCAGCTACTGCATTCTGCTGTGTGGTTCCCTCTGCCAAGTAGATGGCTTTGGGCTGCTGTAGAATGAATAATGGTGTAATTGTGTGGCATGATACAGTTAGCACTTTAGAATGTTCTGCAGTCCTGATCTTAGGGGCTGGATTTTATTCTTTTTGTTTTACAAAGTTGGTAAAATGACTTGACTCATTTAAAATTGTTACACATCAGTATTTAAGTGGAAAGGTACAAAGCAACCCCAAATGCTCATGTGAGAAACACTCCAAGTGCTGCTGACACCCTGTCTAAGAATGACTGGGAAGATTTCGTAGACCCTGTGAGGAGAGATCCACCCAAAGTGATGTCTCTGGCAAATGGGCCATATTAGCTTGCCAGGATCCACGTCACTGGCTAAGTAAGGCCTGGTCCAGGCCCTCAGTGGCTGTATGATGCACAAGGCTGGTACTTAGCAGTGTTTTGTGTTGGTGAGCAGCGTTTCTTAGCTTGTCATCCTCACATAAGAAGTTCAGAAGAGAAGTTGACTCAAGAGTTGAATGTGAATATCCTTCCTGCAGGTGACCGTGGTTGCTCCATGCCTTTGTCAGCACCATGAGCATCCATAGAGTCAGAGAGCAAGTACAGTTCTGATATGGGAGTGTTCAGATATGTACCACTGTACTGCCTGGTTTCCATCCTGCCTCAGCAGGCCTTTCCCTTTGGTCATAGTCTTCTGACTTAAGTTTTATTTTTGTCCTCCATCACTGACTTCATTGTCCTTGCTTCTGCCTTCTATTTTTTTTTTTTTAACATCCAATTTTTAATGTCAAAGCAACCTTGAGAACTTCCAGGTGCCAGCCTTTATTTAAAAAGCAGATGACTGAAGTAAACCAATGCCTGTGATCTTTTGTTTTGTTTTTGAGGCAGGGGCTTGCTATGTATACCAGGCTGAGCCTAGTGACCATCTCCAGATGCTGGGATTACAGTTCACCATCCTGCGTGAGCTGCCTGGGTTCCTTTGTCCAAATACATACTTTTGCTAAAACCTTCTAAGCAGATGCCAGGGAATGGCAGCCAGTGTGGTGGAGAGTCCAGAAGAGCAGGGCCGTGGGAAGCAGGCCTGCTGGAAGTCTCTCAGTCTGGCTGCTCCTGCCTCCACCAGGACTTCCCATCTCTCTCTCCGGAGCAGGCCCGACAGCTGCCTGTTAAATAGCAGTCTCTTCTGCATGCCTGCCACATTTAACATTTTATTGCTGCCCTAGAAAGACAACTACCCAAGTGTGGATTTTTATGTCTTATTTATTTTCAATTTTTATATTCTTTCTCAATTATTGGTCCATTTCAACATAAGGACAAATCTTGGATAGAATGAGGTATGCTTACATCTGTTTCCTAAGAAAATTAAGGTTGTATTTTATGGAAGACATAAAAGTTGTTGGCTGGGCACTTATACATAGGGTTTTTTTTGTTTTGTTTTGTTTTTGTTTTTAAGACAGAGTTTTGCTGTAGTTGGCTGTTTTGGAACTCGCTCTGTAGACCAGGCTGGCCTCAAACTCAGAGATCCGCCTGCTTCCTGAGTACTGGGATTAAAGGCGTGTGCCACCACGACCTGGCTAACTCTTACATAGTTTTAAAGTAGAATATTCTACTTTATAAGAGGCCTATAACATAGTATCAAGTAAATGATGGCTGCCTTTTATTTTAGAAAAATTTCACTACTAATGTTTATGTTGTGTGTCTTCTCTTCAGGGTATGACAAAGCGGCTCAGATCGCCAAGACTGCACACAAGAGAGGATCAACTTTAAAGGAAACAGCTATTGAACTCGGCTATCTCACAGCAGAACAGTTTGATGAGTGGGTAAAACCCAAGGATATGCTGGGTCCAAAGTGACTTAAATAAATTTTTATTAAAATAAACTTATATGAAATTTAAAAAACAACTGTGTGCTTTTACATGAAAATGGGAACATTAAAGAGGAAACTGTAGATTTGAGAATCTGTAGCTAGCATATTGGTCATCTGCATGAAGCTCCAGGGCCACAGTAAACTCAGTGAGTAGAAAAGAAAGACAAAAATAGAATACTTTTTATTTTATGCTACATAACTCATATAGTCAAACCTTTGATATTTGTATATTTGTGTTTGTCACTTCATAAGCTTTTTGAAAGAACCATCAATTTTAAAAGAGACTTAGTTTGTGTTTGGTAGTTGGTTGGTTTTAACAACTTGATAGTAAAGTACTTGTTATTAATTCACAAATCATGTCTCTAACCAGCTTGAATTTTCCTGTGCTCCCAGAGCATAAGCTGGCCAAGCCCTTTTGAGTAAGGGTGTACCAAACATCACCCATAAGTCTATGCTGCCTAGAATGAAAAGCCCGAGGATGAAGGGGAGACACATTTCCTGTGTTGCTGCACTGTATTCTTGCAGGAGTCTTCTCTTTAAGGGCCTGATGTAAGTGTGCTTGCCTTTTTTCAGTCGGGTGAGGAAGAACTTTAGGAAGGAAGGTTCTTGAGCTATATGTGTTTGTCAGTAACTTGGGCTCTTTATCATATTGACTGAGAAGTGAGTTGAAGCTCAAAGGAGACTAGGCAGTGAACCAGAAGGAAGATGTAAGGAAACCACTGAAAGCAAAGATGCCATGATGGAGAAGAGCTTAGTACTGGGTGCCAATTTCTAGATGCCACGGAAGACAGGAAGCTGGTAGACTGACCTAGTGTGGTTAAATTCTACCTTATGCCTGCTAGTCAGGTTTCTGGGCAGTACTCTGTGTAGAACTCACCTCCTTACCATTACAGTGCAGCTGATAGCGCACATTTCATACTTACTGTCCCGAATTTGTATGCGTGTATGAAGCACCCAGCACAATGCCTGCCTCCGCTTTCTGAGCTCTCTGAAGAGAAATGGGTGAAACCGCAGATATGTAACAGATTTTAAGAGTATAAGACTAAGATGAGCATCGTATAGCACAGGTCTATGTATATTTTAACATTTTTTTATTTCATATAAAATAAATTTTAAATTAGCACTCTAACCACGGGCAGGGAAAGCAAGATAGTCTTTTCTCAGGATCATTTTCATTCACAGAACAGCTGAACTTTCGCTGGCACTTTTCATCATTCCCCACTAACACACGTGGTGTTTACCAGCTCCATTGTGGCTTGACGTTATAAACATAGCTGCCATTTTGTAAGTTCTAGAGCCCATTTCAACACTGTTTGGATCTTTGTTTTCTGGGATTGCAATATAAATGTAATTTTCTCTGTTGTTGACAAGATTCATTTTTTTTCTTACAGTCACAAAGGGCAGACATAGTAAACATTTCATGTGATATGCTCTTATTACATATATTGATGTGTGTGGCATTTTATTCCCTGTCAATTACTCTAGAATAGGAATGAGCATCCTGGGCAGGAAAACCAGAGTAGAAAACCAAGGTGTTTAGGTCTCAGTTGTTCTGGGTTAAATCATGGTTCTTTTGATTCTTTTTCTTTTTAGACATGAAAAATTTGACAAAAGACTTCCTTTGAGCTAGCTTCATCCAGTTCAGTTTTCCCAGCTATGACAACTAGCATCCTGGAGTTTACCTCACTCACCCCTAGCTATTTCTAGTTAGTTTATTTTTTAAACCTTTCTCTTCTCACCTATTTTAGGCTTACATTGAAGTTAAGAGGCCAGGATGAAAGGCTCCTGTGTATCCCTCACCCAGCTTTGCCTCATGCTAACTTCTCAAATAACCACAGTACAGTATTTCCCACAGTACAGTGGGAAATAAATCGTTATTTAAACTGCAAGCTTTTCCTCAAACTTCAAAATAATAAGGATAAAAAAGACAAAGGGGGCTAAACACTCCTGCTGTGCTTCTCCCTTCTCCCCAGGTCTCCATGCTGCATTTAGCTCTACATTGTCCTTGTTCTCTTCCAGTCTCTCACAGCTTTTCAAACCCTTGGCTTTTAATCACTAGACACTTATTAAGTCATTTTGCAGACTCTCCTCCATTGTGAAAAGGCCTATAGATTCTGACCATTCTGGTTGTAGAGCAGTTACATATTTGGCTGTGTTGATTTGGGTTGCTGGCCCATCCCTATGAATCCATCAATCAAAGGGAATCCATCAATCAAGAAAAGGGAATTTTGTGTTAGAAGTCACGCTGTCCTACAGAGTGAGACCTTGTTTTAAAAGGTACAAACCCAAAAAGAATACCGTAGAAATAATGCTACAGGGCCCTGGTCTGCCTGATGGGTGGTGCTGATGTTCTATCAAGAGGGTACCAGCCATGTTTCCATACTGTAAAGTTACCATTTCTCTCTCTGCAGTTGGCAGGCATGTTGGGATGTGTTGAAACTACCACTTTTCAACCCTTCACTCTTTAAGTTCTTCATCCATCAATGAACCTTGTCTGCAGCTTTTGTGTCAGTTGCCTGATAACAACCCATATGTCTTTCTGTTGGCACTTTGTTATATGTAAGAGCTGTTTTCTTTCCCCATCGACTGTGTTCTAGTTTGCTTACCTGCTGCTGTAATAAACACCATGACCAAAAGCAACATGAAGAAGAAAGACTTCATTTTAGCTCCCAGGTTATAGTCCCTCATCAAGGGAAGCCAGGGCAAGAGATTAAGGCAGAAACCTGGAGGATGCTACAACGCTCAGTGGGCTACGCTCTTCTACATCAGTTATCAACCAGGAAAATGCTTTAAAGATGTGCCAGAAGGCCAGTCTGACGGAAGCAGTTCTTCCACCGAGATTCCCTTTTTGGAGGAGACTAAGTTTGCATCAAGTTGACTGCTGAAGCTAACCACTGTAACTTGCTTAGTTTAATGTTTATGACAGCATGGACGGACAGTGTTTGTCTTAACTGTCAACTGGCTGAGACGTATTTATGGCCAACTGTTGGGCAGAGTGCATGGAATCTTATGAAAGAAGTGGGAAATAGTAAGATCTGTGCTCCACAAGGAGAGCAACAGAACCAGAAAATTTGAACACAGGGGTCTTTCTAAAGACTCATACTCCAACCAAGTACCATGCATGGAGATAACCTAGAACCCCTGCACAGATGTAGCCCATGGCAGTTCAGTGTCCAAGTGGGTTCCATAGTGATGGGAAGAGGGACTGCCTCTGACAAACTGATTGGCCTGCTCTTGGATCACCTCCCCCTGAGGGAGGAGCAGGCCACAGAAGATGACAATGCAGGCACTCCTGATGAGACCTGATAGACTAAGATCAGAAGGAAGGAGAGGGGGCCCTCCCCTATCAGTGGACTTGGGGAGGGATGTGCGTGAAGAAGGGGGAGGAAAGGTAGAATTAGGAGGGGAGGAGGGAGGGGTTTATGGAGGGATAAGTGAATAAAGTGTAATTAATAAAAGATAAAAAAAATAAAAGAATTAAAAAAAATGACCCAGGAGACAAACTGTGAAGGCCTTTCTAGAGAGGTTTAACTAAGGAGGAAGGACTCATACCCGAATGCAGGCTACACCATCCATGGGCTGTGGTGCTAGACTGACTAAAAAGAAACAAAAAAGGAGCTAAACAGCTCTGCTTGCCAGTGTGAACAGCTGCCTCATGCTCCAGCCTCCTGCCCCCCAGCCATGATGGACTGCACCCCTGGGAACTGTGAGCCAGCAGAAACCCTTCTTCTGTGAAGCTAACACAGGTGGAAATTCATTTTATTCTGTGTCCAATGCCATCTCTTTTTATTTTGTGACTTCGCTTACATTGACTTTGGCCCTTCAGGGGTGTGTGTGTGTGTGTGTGTGTGTGTTACTCTTCTTCCTGCCCCTCTCCTGCTATGTGTATTTCCTTTTTACTTTTCAGCTACCACAAGATTTTATATCTTTATGACTTCCACTCATTTTTATAATGTAATAAAACAGATCCTGTGAGGCATAGTATTACCTTTTAGTGGAAAATCTGGTCATTAGTTAAGGCTGGCAGTATTTTGTTCACATCTCTGTCCTACACTGTACAATTATAAAATAGGAAGCACTCAGATCTTAGTGATTTTATCATCATATAATACTATGAGATGATAAACTGTTTACCCCTAAGTCACTTATTAGTGGACAATAACAAAACTGAATCCATACCTTCGCGTATAGGGTAAGGTGCACCTTCTGTGCATTTTCCTGTCAGCTTAGAACAATTTTAGATCACTGTAGGGATTGAGAGATCCAAAGGGATGATTGAAAAAACCGAATAATCACAGGGTACTAACAACACACACACTCCAACACCTTTCAAGGGAGAAGGCATCCAGAGAATAAGCCCTTCTGTAGTCTAAGAAGCAGGATCCACCACCAACAACCCCCTCCTGCCATGAGGAAAGAGGGAAAAGGCTCATATACTCTGCAGCATAGCCAGAGTATATGGGCTCAGTGTTTGAGTCAGAGGGTAACTCCATAGAGCAGCAACAGTCTGTAGTCTTTATGGCCTGCAGCTTAGCTTATCTATTGCTAGTAGCTTTGAGTGCATTTTACAGAGTATACACACAGATAAGCTCCAAAGTGGCTAGAAATATAATATAGGCTTTAGATGTATTTAGAGTATTTAGATGGATTGGATGATTAAAGATGATGGGCTTTTGAGCTAGTTAGTATATGACTACAGAGATCAGGAACCTGCTGGATATAACAGGGCATGACTGTAATACCAGCACTCTGGAGGCTGAGGTAGAAGGATATTAAATTTATGTCCAGCTTAGATTTCACAGTGTAACCTGTGAAACCAATACCAAACTTCCTGGAAAGATGTGCCCATTGGTGTAACAGTGGCTTCCTGGTTGGATTGGAGGGTCACTCCATGGGAGGGGACACATGCTGGGCACTGGAGAGCTAGTCAAAAGTCTGGCTGGGCAAGTTCCAGGCCCTATGTGGGGAGCTACTAATCATGTTTTGCCAGATGGGCATGTACTTAAACTTCCTTCTAAATGTTTATGTTTATGCG